CTTTCCTCATCATAGGGCTGCTGTCAATGTTGACTGCTCACAGGGTCAAGGCAGGGCAACCTCCTTAGTGCAGGCAAGGCAAATTCTCAAGAGGCCACATCCCTGGACAGAGTTTCTAAGGGCTCATGATACTCCTTTTCCTTTTGTTTCTGGAACAGTATAAATAGTGACCTTTGTCAGCCCCCAGCACATGCTTTATTACTGCAGAGGAGTGCTATCCTGCTTTTATCCGAAGGATGGGGGAGTGTCAGCCCTCAGGCTGTGGAGGGGGAGTAGGTCTGAACTGTGTACTTGGTTGCCTCAGCTCAGCCCTGCTCACAGAGATCTCACAACATCCTATGTAACAATCTCTTTCCCCCACAATTAACTGTGGAGAAATACTTTATGGGTCTGCCCTAGCCTAGTCTTTACTCCAGGACGCAGAGGGCTAAGCTCTTTATTGTTTTGTCCTTGCTAGATCTATTTAGTGCTGGAATAGGCCCAGATGCAGTTTTCCATAGCTGGTTAGCAAGTTATTTATGATTCACTAAGGCCACTGGCAGAAACATGGTCAGTCTGCCAAATCTCAAATACTTCCATCGGGGCAGGGATGGCTTACACTAGTCAAACTGAGATATAGTGTAATGCTTTATTCTGTTATAATTTACATATGCCATTAATTTTCACCTTTTCAGGCTTTGTTTGAATTTCCCATGTTGTCAATACAGTTTTCTGAGTTCTGATTAAATTTCCAACAACCTTCTCTTTCTCAGAAATGCTTAGTGTATGTGTTGACCTTTTACTTTGGACCTATCTAAGGAAGAAAGGAGTTCCTACTTCTAAGAAACAAGTAAAAATTGCTTAGCATTTTCCTTAGAAGGGCTTAGGCCCACTATAGCAAGTTCTTAGAAGTTGCTATAGAAGATGATATTAATGCTTAGTGGGCTGTGATAATCTATCTCTGGGGAAGCTCTGATTACTTGGGGATAAAATTCTTACTAAGGCCCAGCAATATTTTAAAAATTGTTGCTGGTGGTGCTGAAGTACAGTAAGCATTGTACTAGGGTGCATTAATTTCCTGTTACTGCCAACATTTCCTCCTGATCCGTAGAAAACACTAATAGAATAGTGTATGCCAATGGAACCAAGTCCAACCAAGTGGTCTTTCCTGGAAGCTTACGTGGTGCTCATTAATCAGCTGGATCACCAATGATATGATAATAAAGGAGGACCAGGAGGGCAAGAAGGTATGTTTTACTATAGGAAGAAACATATTAAAGTTAGGAACTATTGAGACTCAGGCTTTGATTGGTGACCTGGTTTTCATAGGTGAAAAATAGTATTTGATGGTCTTACATTGCTTTTAGTATTAAGTAAGGCAGGTCAAAGAGATAAGAACTGTTGGATTCTGTTACTATGCTAACCACATCCCTAGTTCTGTAAATTCCTAAAATGTCTTTCCCTCTGTGTTCTAGGCAGCACTACTTCAAGTGTGGTGCATGGACTGGCAGCATCAGTGTCAGCTGAGAGCTTGTTAGAAATGCACATTGTCCCGTCCCTTTCCCAGACCTTCCGACTCAGCATCTCTGGAGTGGGGCTCCAGGAATCTGTTTTATTAGGCTCTCCAAGTGATTCTCATGCACATTAAAGTTTGAAAAGCATTGTTCTAGGGTATCATATCCTAAAGTATGTTTTCTGTGGGTTTTTAGTAACTGCCATGCCAAAAATAGTCCCAGTCATTGTCAAATGAATTTGGAAAATGCAGAGTTAAACAAAGTTAAGCTTTTTAATTTCATTTTTGTGTGTGTGTGGGGTGGACTACCAGATTTTGCAGAGCTTTTTAATATGTTACTCTACTGTTCACAATTCTCCATTGGGTTCTCAGCACACTTAAAGTAATATCTAAAATTCTCATCATGGACTGTGATGTACTGCATGGTCTGGCCCCTATTGACTCTAATCTCATTTTCTATCTCTGTTGCTTTTGCTCACTACACTCCGCCTACTATGATCTCCTAGCCAGACACACTCTTACTTTAAGGCCTTTGCACTTGCTGTTCTCATTGCATGAAAATCTCAGATCTCTGTTCAAATGTATCTTTTGCAAAGAGGCCTTCCCAGGTCATCCTGTACAAAATTTTATCTCCTGTCACTTCACTCCAGTCCCACACCCTGATTTATTTTTCTCTATAGTCCTCCCTACTGTCTGACATTTACAATATTATTTTTTTATTGATTGATTTACTATTTGTCTACTCCACTAGAAGGTAAACTCCCTGAAGAGTTTGTTCATTGCTGATTCTTCACTACCTAGAATAGTGCTTGGCACATAGCAAGTTACTTAAGTATTTATTAATGAACAAATGAATGGAGAGAGTGAATCATAGCATAGAGAGAAACAATAGTGAGACAAAATGTGGCTGCCCTACAGCAGTGCATGCGCCTCCCAGAAAGCAGAATAGAGAGGAAAACTTCCAGGGCTTGGTCATCCAGTGTCTTGGGAGTCATATACCATTATGATTGATACCAAATCATTGATTGTTCCCACCAAAGCCACTGAGGCATGGGGAAATGAATTTCATGTATTTTCCCCTGTAATTATGGAACAATAATGATCATTCCACACAGAATGGACTCCTGGTTATCTCTCTAATGAAGTATTTTTCTTAGTTCATTTCCTTGTTCATTATCTACCCCTGGGAAATCATTCACTTTCATGGCTTCAGACGTTATCAATAGATATTGGTTAATTTCTGTGGTTAGTACCCAACTTCCTCTCCTGTGTTGCTACTGCCAACTGGACATGTCCATTCAGATATTGAGCTGAAAACATCACTTTTTTTCTTCTCTGACTTCCATACTTCCTGTAATGGCAGCAATAATCTTGCAGTCTTTGAGGCTGAAAACCATGAGGATACTCTAGAAGTCTCTAGAGTTCACCTTTTCTCATTCAAATAGTTGCCCAATCTTCCTGATTACTCCCAGTGTTATATCCTATATAATAAAAGACTAATATTGCAAATTGACCGAATGGCGGAACAACTGGTTGCTATGATGTGCACTGACCACCAGGGGACAAACGCTCAATACAGGAGCTGCCCCCTGGTGGTCAGTGCGCTCCCACAGTGGGGGCGCCACTCAACCAGAAGCTGGGCTCACGGCTGGCGAGTGCAGCGGCAATGGTGGGAGCTTCTCCCGCCTCCGTGGCAGTTGGACATCCCCTGAGGGCTCCCAGACTATGAGAGGGCACAGGCCGGGCTGAGGGACCCCCCCTAAGTGCACACATTTTGTGCACCGGGCCTCTAGTGTGTGTGTGTGTGTGTGTGTGTGTGTGTGTGTGTGTATGTATATATATATATATATGGTTTTGTTTCTACCCTAACACTGGACTATTATAGTAACGACTGAACTATTCCCCCTCACCCTGCTTTCAATCTATCTTAAACAGATTCTTCAGCCTGACTCTTAAGATACTGGCCAGTATGGCCATAATATCCATATAGCTTTATGTCCATGATTTCCTCACATCTCTTTTCTGATCTAGCCAAACTAGACCACTTGATCTTTTCTTGACTCTTTCTGAGTTCTTATATTCTCATGTATTTGCTCATTCTGCTCCACCTAATAAGAAAGCTTTTCTTATTATCCATGTTTATTGACATCCTGTCCATTCTTTAACACCCACATCAAATATCCTCTCCAAGAAAGTTTTCTGATACATTCTTTGAGAAAATGTGCATTCTTTTCTTATTTTAATATCACTTAATGCTGGTGATTTGGGCACATTTTACCTCATTCAATAATAATTTGTATTCTTATTTTATTCCTACCACCATATTAAAAGCCCAGTGAGGGCAGAGCTTTTGTCTTACTAATCTCTGCATCTCCACATTAGGCCCCAGTATATATACTCAGTAACTTGAATTGAAATACCTTGATCCAAATTATATTTCATAACAGCAATACAGTTATATCATGGACTAATGTTCTTTGGGTGGGGAATTTATTAAATAGTTATATTTACATCCAGGTCTCTCGGGAGTGACATAGCCAATCATTTGACACAGAAAGGTACAGAAAGGTTAAGTGATTGTCTCTGCCATACCTCAGATGACCCAGGATTCTCAAGCCCCAGTTTGCAAGTCTGATTCAGGCTTCTCTTAAAAACTTTTCCTCTTCTGGAAAAATAACAATTGCTGTTCATCAGCTTTTGAGCCTTTGAACTACTTGGATCAAGGGAAACTGAGAGGTTTAATCCACTCATCCTCAAAGGATAAATTCAGATGCCCAAGTCTCAGAACGAGGCATCAGGCAATTGCCTGGTCTGCTTCTAAATCTGGTGGCTGGGGAGCAATCCAAAAAGAGTCTGCCTCCATTCTACCCACTAGTCACTCTTCCATAAATCTTACAATTTGAACCCACAAAACTCTTGCTAATTGCCTCTTATTGGCCTGTTACAAGATGCAGCATAGGGAAGAGACAAAGCCTCCCTATTCACATTCTCAGTGGGCAGCAGGGGTCTCTGCAAAAATAAGGAAACTGGGGCCCAAGCTGTTCATTTCTGAAAGTCAGGACAAGATCTTCCACTATTCAGAATCTCACATAATTACAATATTGCCTCCTGGGAGACCCTGCCAGTTTATCAAATGGTCTATTAGAATTTTAGAGTGTATTTAATATTAGAGTCTATTTAATAAATCAGCACTATTTAAAGTTATAGACTTTTTTCTTCAAAGTGATAGACACTCTACATTTTAATTTCAGTATTTTTTTCCCAGTTGGAGGGAGGGAAGGAGAGAGAGTGAGAGAGAGAGAAGTGCTTTTCATGAAAACATCAGTTCTTGTATTTATGTTTTAAGAAAGCAAAGGGGAGGCAAGAACTGCAGCCTGATAACTGAACTTTCTGTTTAGAATTCCCTCCTCTCCATTGGGCCTTAGCTGGGTTTCAATAATTATTGCTCAGGCACATAGTCTTGGAGCTTTGCTTTCTCTCAGACTTGTACACAGTTCTAGGAAGGGTTGTTGCCAAAGCCATCATGTGATTTATTGACCCTCCACTGGGACAAGGGGGAACAGATATAACTTTGTGATTTTATTATAAGGAGGTTGGGTTAATATTTCTAGGTGAAACAAGCTACTATACCAAGTTCAAACATCTGAAGAGGGAGGTTAAGAAACCCTGAGTGTGGGGTGTAAGGATTATTCTGTCCTGGGGCTGTACAGACGTCGTCTGAGGCAGGGAGCAGGAGAAGAAAGGACACATTGTGACCCATTTCCAACACCTCCTGTGTGTAGAGGCGGAAGTTCCTTGCCTGCAGAGGGACACGCGCGGAGGAAAAATAGGAGAGTTACAACATGGCACTTACATAAACAACACCAAACTGGCATAAAACATCTAACAAAATTACACGACTTCAAGCTTGGAATTTTTATACAACATAAATATTAGGGTTCAGCCCATTTAATAATGCTATATAAAATCAAGATTTAAGGCAGTAATGTTCCACATAAACTCTGAAAACAACATTTATGCTTCTTATAAAAGTAGAAAATGATTGCATTCTGTGGGCTTTTCAAAATGATGAATATAATTACATGAAGCAACAAAAATGGATTGAATTAAAAATCTACTAGTTTCAATTTAAGTTGGTTAAGGGGGAAAAATGTAGTTTCTGGCCAAGGACTGAGGAAATTTTACAAGAATCAAAAAAAAATTGTTGTATGCACTCTTAGGCAGTTAAGCAGCCTTCTCCCAACATGTATATGTAGCCCAACAGTCACCAATGAAATATGAGCTGCTTCAAACCTGCTAAGCCTAAGAAACCCTTTAATAGTATCTACTGTCACAAGTAGACCTGGTAGTTTTTTCTCCTCCAGAGTACACGGCCACCCCTAGAATATTCATTTGCTCCCGTAGAGTCTTTATGGCATCTTGTGCAATTTATTCTTTGTCAGTGTTGGCTGTTAGGACTAGCCTTGCAGTATTAACTTAGAATCGGAGTAATAACCCAGTGGAAGAACACTCTTGGAGTTTGTACTCTATACTCGCCTCTATGGGTCAGAGGCCAATACATGGTTGTCTCTCTGTTATTTAAAAAGAGACAGTTACTGCTGTAATAGTCTTCCTGATTACAGGGTAAACTTTGTTCATTGTGTGTGTGTGTGTGTGTGTTGGATGGGAGTAGAAGGTGAAGGTAGGCCAAAAAGTCCTATCTAATAAAGCGGTAATATGCAAATTGACCATCACTCCAACACACAAAATGGCTGCCTCCATGTGGTCAAAGATGGCCACCCCCATGTGGACACAAGGTGGCCACCACAAGATGGCCGTCAGGGGAAGGCAGTTGTGGGCAATCAGGCCAGCAGGGGAGGGCAGTTGGGAGGGACCAGGCCTGAAAGGGGGGGCAGTTTGGGGGGACCAGTCCTGCAGGGGAGGGCAGTAGGGGGCAACCAGGCCTGCAGGGGAGGGCAGTTAGGGGTGACCGGGCCTACAGGGGAGGGCAGTTAGGGGTGACCGGGCCGGCAGGGGAGGGCAGTTAGGGGTGACCAGGCCGGCAGGAGAGGGCAGTTAGTGGCAACCAGGCTGGCAGGGGAGGGCAGTTGGGAGGGCACTTAGGGGTGACCAGGCTGGCAAGGGAGGGAAGTTAGGGGCGCCCAGGCCTGCAGAGGAGGACAGTTAGGGGCGACTAGTCCTGCAGGGGAGGGCAGTTAGGGGTGACCAGGCCAGCAGGAGAGGGCAGTTAGGGGCAACCAGGCTGGCAGGGGAGGACAGTTAGGGGCAATTGGACAGTTAGGGGAGCAGTTAGGCATCGATCAGGCTGGCAGGGGAGTGGTTAGGGGGTGATTAAGCTGGCAGGCAGAAGTGGTTAGGGGATCAGGCCTAAAAGGGCAGTTGGACATCCCTCCAGGGTCCCAAATTGGAGAGGGTGCAGGCTGGGCTGAGGTACTAACCCCCCCTCCGC